CTCCTTACTGTACCATCTAGACATATGGATGATAGGCTACATATGTACTGTACCAGTCTCCACATGGCAGCATATTCTTTGTATACAAAAGACACAAGATTAGGCGTTTCATGCCGGAAGCTGTTGTGTTGGCTACATCTAGTTATGTCTGCATTGTGCTTCACTCTGAACCTTACTACAACCTTATGGGACCACAGACGCATATGCAGTCAGACACCGCTTGCACAGGTGCTGTGCGCTACTCAAGGGGAGCTTCAAAAAGTTGGTTGAAATATTTTATTATCTCTCGGTTCCTTTTTTCATGCACGTTCTGAAGTCCCCTGTAATTATAAATACTATCATCTGAGTCCAAGAGAATGAGACAGATAAACACAGGGAGGCAGTGCTACAATATCCTCCTTCAAACAAGTGCAGGTGGGGAAAAAAAATTGGCGGGCAGTCAAGAATGTCTCCCTAATACAGCTCCAAAATGAGTATTTGATAGGCAGTGCTGAAATAAAATCATTTCAGCAAGAGTTGGTCTTTGGGTTTGATAGAAAGAAATGCAGCGACAATCAGCGCTTTCATGAGACTTGGGACTTCCTGGGGGAGCACAAATGCATAATGCCATCACAGTGGCAGTGACGGCAACAGTGGCAAATCACAGCAGCTTACCTAAAAGGTGCTTCTGAGTTGTCCTAACTTGACTATGTCATTGGACTTCAAAATTCTAGCTCAGAGTGCTTAATGTATACTAGGAAAACAATTAGAATTTTATGAAGGAAATGTGAGTTTTAAAGAAAAATTCGTTCATGAAGTCTAGTTTAAAGGCTTGAGTCCAGGGAAACAATCTCTCAATTCAGGTCCAAATTCTGCCTCCCACTGTCCTAGTAATCCTGAAGCTGAAGAAAGGGGGCAGGTAGCCAAGCATCTCTTGGGGATGCAAGGAAGACAAGAAGACCACGACATCACATGCCAAACCCGGAGCTGACGGGTACCGATTGTTGTAGGTGGTCTTCCTTTGGCTTCCTCTGCCTTCGTAGTGGGCAGAAGCATTTGACTTCTACACCATCCAAAACGCTCACTGCCACTGAGGGGATCCCAACTCATAGCACCCCTACAGACAGGGTAGAACTGCGCCCCCTGTGTCTGGGGTCTAACTCTTACAGGACAGGAAACCCCATCGAGTCAACACTGATTCATAGAGACCCTAAAGGACAGAAGAGAACCATCTCTTTGGGTTTCAAGACCGTAAGTCTTACAGGAGTAGAGAGCCTCATCTCTCTCCCATGGTGCGGCTGATGGGTTCACACTGCTAACCTTGCCGTTAGCAGCCCAATGAGTGACCCAGTATACCACCAGGGCTCCTTAGAAAAAGTCAAAGCTTTAAAAAAAAATTTAAGGCCTTTTCTGTATTCAATATGGAAATACATAAAGTTAAAACTAAAGATGTGGCTATAAAATACCATTATTAACATTTTATATGTAAAATAAGTTTCTCAAAATCAATTCTGCCAAAGTTCTTTGTAATATCAGAAATTTTTATTCAATTACTTGGTGGCAGCCATTTTGGGTAGCAATGGTTTCAAAATGTCACTAATGGCACCAGGCTGCAGAAAGGGGCACCTGCTGTGGAGGAGAGGCTGTCAACTACCTGAGGTGACTTGGCTGACTTCAGTCATACCTGAAGTTTGCCAAGTAGAAGGCACTCCTACCTAAAGGAAATAAGCCAATTCCCTACTGTTTCCCTGGTAGTACAACTTGAAAATAATAACTTTGATCTAGTATAAAGCCTGCCGTAGACAAGGGAACTTGTCTATTCAAAAGGAAACACAATTTTACCTTATATCAGCGGTTCTCAACCTGTGGGTCACGATCCCTTGGGGGGGGGGGGTGTCGAACAACACTTTCACAGGGGTCGCCAGATTCTTAACAGTAGCAAAATGACAGTTATGAAGTAGCAACGAAAATAGTTTTATGGTTGGGAGGTCGCCACAACATGAGTTTCTGTATGAAAGGGCCAAGGCATTACGAAGGTTGAGAACCACTGCCTTATCTGTTATCCCAGAGCTCCCCCTGCTGGCCTCAAAGAAGCACGCACGCACGCACGCACGCACGCACGCACGCACTCTCACTGCTGTCAAGCCAAGGCTGATTCACAGCAACCACACAGGACAGGACAGAACTGCCCAGTGGTTTCTGAGACTAACTCCTTTCAGGAGAAGAAAGCCTCCTCTTTCTCCCGAGGAGTAGCTGGTGGTCTTGAACTGCTGACCTATCAGTTGGCAACCCATCTCGAAACCAGAGTCATCCTTAACACTGTCCCACATCAAGTCATCTCAGAAACACACCCTCACTTCCTGGGGAAAAGCAAGCTTCTACAACCTTTGTCAAAAACCAAACAAACAAACTTTAAAAGACAAATTAGAAGAAGTCTTCCAAACTGTGTTTTATCTAAATGGTGGTTTTCAAAGGAGCGTGGTTATGGCTCACGATCATTATTCTTACGGTGATTTTTGAGGCGTCTTTGCAAGTCACCATACCCTGCCACCCCACCCTAAATCTTCCTCACCAGTCTGACTCCTTCAGGTGGACTCTGACCGACAAAACCCAAACCTACTCCCTCCGATGTAACTCTCATCATTAGTCTTCTCAGCTGAGGCAGGCTCCCTGGTAACACCACCTGGTCTTTCCTTCTGTTATTCTCTGTAATGGTGTACATGTTTTAGTTTTCCATCACAAACAGGATATTTAAATAACCCTTAAACAATAAAGGTAAAGATTTCAAAGCAGGTAGCAAGTCAGCCAAACGTGTGGCACCAAATGTGACCCCTTGGGCTCTTTGTGAATTGAGTTCATTTACTATTACTCAGCTGAGGGTTTCAGTTGTTCCTATCACAACAACAGGAAACATACGTGTTTCTCTTTGGCCACGCTAACGCTGTCCCCATTCAGAAATGGAAAGAACACACAATCCAGAGGGATTGATTAGCACTTGAAATATGAAAATTCCATTCGGAACAAATCCTTAAATTACAAAAGGCATGGATTTTTCCATCAGGCGTGTAAGTCCATCCTGTGGGTCAGCTTAACTCTATTACACAGTGATTAAAATCATGTGCATAATTAAAGCCCTTGAAAAAGTAGCACTCAGAGGCTGGGAAGAGACTTAAAGGCCAACAGTCCATTACAATAATGCAAACCTTCTTAGTGACTCACACTGGCTGCTTTAAAAAAATCCAAAGACAGAAAAGGTACATTAGCACATAGCATTCACATAATTAGGTACAACCAAGCACAAAATATCTAGAGTGTTTTAAATGTCAAGTTCAGGGAAAAAGCACAACCTAAGTGCACCGAATGAAACGAGAATTTAAAGAGTCTTGCAACTAATGTCATGACACCAAAAAAAATTTTTAAAGCATAAATGATTGAATGGAAAACCAATTTGTAAACTTCCACCGAACTCACAATTTCAAAGGAAAATAAAACTGTAAAGAGCCATGCATAGCACCTGACATTCCTTTCATCAGGGCTTTGTAAAGCTTTCATAAAAGAAGCGGAGCAGGAATCCCCAAGGCAAGGCTAAACTCATGGTTCTAATCTACAAGAGGCATCAGGCTTGGTAGAGGGTCCGCAGGCTCTCAGTGAGACAGATGCAGAAGGACAGACACAGGGGCTGCAGTGAGCTCCAACACAGCAGGGATCGTGAGGGTAGTGCAGGAGGGGCACCGGACATCAACAAAACCCTGCCACCAAGGACAATAAGGTGGAAGGTAGACTATGGCAAATGAATCTAATCACACTGCAAATGCATTCACGTAACCACCCTGGAGGATGGGAAGACAGCAGCTGGCCCGATAACTTTGAAAACAGCTTTGCAAGGATCCTGAAGGCCACTGATGAGGGGGCTTCAAAAAGTTAGTGGAAAATTCCAGTCTTTTCATTCCATTTGCCCATAACCTTTATGAAGCCCCCTTGTACACTAATACCATACTTCAGGGGCACAGTGGTGATTCTCACAGGGGTACACAGACCGGTGATTTTGAAAATGCATCAGGTGTGTATTAGAACTGAACTTGGGTTGAACAAACAGGCCTACAGATAATGGCAGGGCTTACAGCAGGAAGCGAGATGTTACAAGTCATGAAAAGACAGAGGGACGGCTAGCATTGACCTTAGGGTGCCGATTCAGAACCAACAGCATCATAATGAACTCATGGTTCTTATACACGTATACATGTTATATACAACAACACAGTATATGTGTCAGTATGATACCTTTGCCTTATTTTATATCTGCCTAGATATACACACACTCACGCATATGTATAGCTAATACACACACAGGTGAACGGATACCAAATTATAACCGTGCGCATATGTGTTTGTATATGTACATCGATTTCCTAGCTCTGTCCACTGAGAACCTAGAAACAATGATCTTGATGTATAGCAATAAAAGACGCCAGAACTCCTTAGAGGTAAGGATGTTTCCCGAACTGAAGCAGGGAAATGACACGCTAAGGTGTTGAGCCATAACCGCCGGGGAAAACTACAAAGGCAATTAAAATTAAAGGCACTTGGGCAAGACTCAATTCGAAGAAGGGACTGGTGCCCTTGAAGCAGACAGCGTGCCTGGTCGTCTCGATGCATTACGTGTTGCGAAGCTTAGGTGAAACACAAAATGTCACGACAGTGGACTGCAGTGCTGTCCAGTGAATCACTCAGTCTCCTTACATTTGGAGAAGAATTAAGCATCAGCACAGCGTATGAGCGGGCCTCCAGGGATCAAAACAGAAACGAGCAAAATGCCGACACTGAGTGAGAGAACAGCTGTTAAAACATGCAAGTGAGCCCTGTCTCACTGCTGCCCCTTTCCGTCTCGGGTTCCACACGCCAGTGGACCCTTCCTCAGTTGGCCCGACACCACTCATGACCGAACGACCAAGGACCAGAACTGTCTTCTCTAAAAGGTGAGCTGTTTGTCTGAGATGGTAGCACAGACAAGGTGGTCTTACTTTTCATAGTGCCTTCCTCTTCCTCATCCTCTGCGTTGATCACCATGGTGCCCAGTTGTGACGGCAACGTGTCCTCGTGCTCAATCATAGTATTGGCTCCGTCACTCAAGGTGCTGGCGACTCGGACCGTGCCCATGTCATCGCCCACTGCTCGAACCATCGTGCCAGAATCCATCTCATCCTCCTCCTGGGAAAAGAGGGAATCTTACATTAGGCTCGAGTGAGCCAATGATTGGGAGCTTTCTGCATGACTTTTACTCATCGCGGTGCACAGGTGTCTGGATTCGACACTAATCAGTGGCCTAAACTCCTCTTGTGGAACTGAAAGCACGCTTATTTGGCCTGTAGATCATCTCCTTCTCCCCTTCTTCTTAGCAGAGAGCTGCAATATAAACCCAAGACACTGAGCTAAAGTGCCCTGGAATCTTAGGGTTGTGAGGGAGCCCATGCGTGTAAAGGCCACACATTCAGAATACATGATAGATGCCCGGTTAGAGTATAGAAGAACCACATCTCAGACCTGAGCATTCTCCCTCCTAAATAAAAAGTTAATTGAATATAAGAGAAGGGAGCAAGAGAGTAAAGTTTAAAATTCTCCCAGAGGCAGTGGGAGAAGAGCAGTTACAGATTCAGCACGATGAACTGCCCCGTCTTGAGCAAGCTGTGACCCAAGACTCCATCTCCAGGGTGATCCACCGGTTCCCACTGATCTCAGCCAGCGTGACAATCATGAAATAACAGCAAGGATGCCCACGGCCCAATGCCTTGCACTCACTGAGTTCTCTTCATCCTCCTGGTCCACCTCCCGCTGCTGGGCTTCCTGGCGCTTCAGCTTCACGTCCATGGCTTCATTAATCAGGTCCCGCAAGATCGACACTCCTTTGGCACTCTTGACAAATGGGTGCTTAAATGAAAGAGTGGAAGACAGTGGCTTAGTGCCCAAACAGTGTCTGGCACACAGAAGGTACGTGTATCAGTGAATTTGCTTTCTCTGTTTATGCTTTCGGCAAAAGCTAAGCCACACTCACTGTATTGCTCAAGATCAGATGCACATCCAAGCCCTGCTCCTCTTTTGCTGCCTGGCTGGAATGCCATTTCTCTTGGCTCAATCTCAAGACTGGCAGCAGGGTTGTGCCACTCCCTAGAGGACGCTGTGTCCATGTGTGGGAGCTTGTGATAGTTGCCAAAGGCTTGGCGAGCACAAATGACATAGGAGGGAGGCAGGGACACAAGTAATCCTATGACGCGTGAGACGCCACGAACTGTGGCCCGTTCCGCCAAATGGTCAGAATACATTTGCACTTCGGTGAACAATGCAGAAAAGTTCCTCTAAGAGATACATGAAAGCCTAGTAATTTAGGAAGTCATTTGGATTGGAGAGTGACATTTAAATAAAATAAAAAAGACATTGATTAGAAATCACAGGATAATTTATGCACTCTATTTATTCTTCCAATGCAATATGAGAGCATTTCCAATGATATACTTAGGGAAAAATAATTTTAACGCAGAAGGGCAGTTACTGCAGAAATACTAAAATGATCACACACATAAAACAGATGTGGATCCAAACATTATCCAATCAGCAAAGGCACTTTGAAACATGGTTATTACTTAATTTAATAATAAAAGCTTCTTTAAAAATTGTATATGAATCCCACATTACATTTTTGTTGTCATTGGTAGCACTAACTACAAACAAACAGAAAAACTATGCTATGAAAGTCACATGTGGAAATTTCCTCTGCGGGATTGCCCACTCCAATGAGAGTGAATTAGTGAATGTGGCTCTTCTAATCAGTCTCTAACACCCACCAAAGACCTTTTCCTGCATGGGTCTGGGTAAGAAGGTGGAGAAGACACTAATAGGATTCACTTGTAACTGTTAACAGGATTCATCGTGATTGCTACCCTGCCGCATATAACAAGCCCTCTGAGAAGCAGGAGGGAATCTCACTATTAGTAAGAGCCAGGAGTGAAGCCTATCTCCTGGACCCTGAGATCTCTATGTACTGAACCTCATTGATCAAGAGCCGGCTTTGACACCTAAGGAGTGGCAAAGGAGCAACAGCAGAACCAGGAGGCGGAGCATGAGACAGAGTGGTGGACTTCCCAGGCCACAGAGCAAGTGAAGCAGAGTGCTTTTGAGCAGGAGACTGGCTTTGTGGGGTCAGGTGTCTCTGAGCACTTAATTAGGGACCTGAGTTTGCTTACCCACCGAAGTGGAGCTGGGTGCTTTCAGACTGTGGCTTACTGGAGTGGGGTAACTCTGAGTATTTAATTCAAGGAGCTGGGTTTGCTGATAAAGAGAGTTTGAGTTGAATGCACTGGAGGCTTACAGCAGAGTCGAATGCACTTTGGGCATTATCAGCAGCCCCGAAAGACCTTTGTAACATGCTCTGACTGAGCATCAGTATCCTGAACCTTTCTCACCTGCATCATAACTTGTAACTTCCTTAATATGCCCCATAATCATGAGCCTTGTCAGTGAGTTGTGTGTTGCCACTGCAATGAAATAGTAGGATCTAAATGAAAAAGTCAAGCATGCCAAGGAGCCCTGGTGGCACAGTGGTTACGAGCTGGGCTGCTCACAGCAGGAGGAGCAGTCCGGGACTACCAATCGCTCCCCGAGAGGCAAACGGGGCCTTCTACTCCCGTAAGGAGTTAGTCTTGGAAACTCACAGGGGTGGTTCTATAGGGTCACTAGGACTGAGCACCAACAAATTTGGTTTTGTTTGGTATGGGTTGTGTGTAACAGAATACACCCGCCACCTTCCCAACATATTCTGATATTGTCCACAGTGTTTCTTTTTGCAAGGACGATCCAGTCCCCATCATCACATCAAAGGCTCTAGCCTTTTTCGGTACTTCAGAGACGGAATGTATATTCAAACACATTGGGTGGGATCTCGATTCGGAGATACGTTTTCCATTAACGTCATCCGACCCTGTCCAGGCGGAGGGGGAGATAATGGTGCTACATGTAGAAACAGAAAGCCAGCTCATTGCAGTATCTTCCTTCCTTGTCCTCTCTGATGGTCTTATAGATCGTCCCCTCATTCTCCTACATGTCAGGAAGTCTGCTCAGTGATCACTTCAGACAGTGTCCCCCCACACCTCTGGTCCTCCACTTCCTGTACTGAGTGGTTTCTGATCTTCTTACGGCTCTTAAATCTAAATTCACTCACGATGCTAGCTACAGGTACCAACTGCTTCAGTATGTCTTCAGGCTGACTTCTGCGGGAGCATTTCTAAGCTGAAGTATGTATTTTTTATTATAAAGTATGATCTTTACATTTCTCCATTGTATCACAGGTTTGATTTTATGTTGAATTTCTTTTATCTAGGATGCTCATTCCAGAGGTATATTGAGAGTGCTAGAAATACATATTGGTTCTAAAAATGGGCCTGAGACTGAAATAGTCAAAAATGATTTTTCTAGCCCAGGGGTCGGCAAACTGCGACTCACGAGCCAGGTGCGGTCCTTCCATGCATACATGTGGCTCTACAGAAAAACTGGAATTGTTTAAATGATATCATTCAGATAATGGTGATTTCATTTGTTTGGAAAGATATTTATTTATGGCTCTCAAATAACTTTTAAATTGTTGTGAGGGACAAGATTGGTCCTTCCGTCTCAAAAGTGTGACAACCCCTGGTCTAGTTTGATAATCATAGCAGATACCTGCCAGGTTCATAACATCTATCTGTAAGGCACTCTTCACAATCAAGAAAGCAAGTATTTATTGCCCTTTTTAAAGTTACTTGTCCAAGGTTACAAATCTAGTAGATAAAGCCAAGATTTGATCCTGGGCAGTCTGATTGCAGAACCCAAGCTCCTACTTGCTAAGACATTGCCTGCCACTCTGCCCAAGTATCGCAGCTTTCTCCTCCAGAAAAGCATTCTGGCATCTCCACCTCAAAGAGGCCTGCCCCTAACCTAAGCTACAGAGCTCCTATCGCTGACCCCAAATCTTTGTCAGCAAGGTAGACTTTTGTATTGGAAGTCAGAAAGACCTGGGTTCTAAACTTTCCTCTATGCTCTTTACCAGCTGAGTGACTCGAAATGACATAACCTCTCTAAGTTTCTGTTTCTTCACCGATAAAATTGAAATCATACCCTCCAAGGCTTACTGGATGCTTAACTGGCATAACATATTCAAAGCATCGTAACACAGCTGGTGCTCACTAAATATCAATTTTCACTCTCTAATCCCACACATCCTTGTATTTCCGAGCAATGTTAGTCTTCATCAATGGCTTTCCAAGTCCTGTCCACTCAGTGGGAGCCCAACCTAGAGGCAGGGAATGTCTTGTATGGTTCGTCAGCGTGTGAATGAAATGAAGAGAGGCAGCATGTCGGGCTCATACCTGCAGCAACTGAGTGGCTGTAGCTCTCTGGTCAGGGCTCTTCACAAGACACTGCTTCACAAAATCCATGAAGTTATCTGACCACAGCTCTGGCTTTCGGAATGTAGGGGGAGGGTTGGTAGGAATCATGAAGATTGCCTGGATTAAAAAAAATGTAAGATTAAAGTGATATTCCCATAATGATCTGAGATGACATTTGAAGGTTGGTCAAATGAAAAGCCCATCCAAATTCCAAAAAAAACCTTAAGAATCACAAAGTAGGAAGTTGGACCATTAGAGCCTGACCACTCCTGCTCTGCTCCCCTCCCCACCAATCCTCATAATATCCCAAGCTTTTTTATTATGGCAAGCCTCTTTCCAAAGTGGACAGTTGACCCATATGCACATTCAGAAGATTGCCTCAGGCCCACAGGTGTCAAGCTTCCTTCCTCCTCTGGGTCACTAGTTGTTGGGTCACCCTCAACGCAACAGGCCCAACGACCACCAATTCCCAAACCTCAGGACAGCGATTATCTGCTTCTTCCCCCACAAGGGGAACTGAGCTTAAAGTTCAAGGGAGGACTTCTGTTCTTTGGTTCTGCTACAAGTGAGTTTAAGGTAAAGTCCAGTTCACTTAGTGGGGTTTCCAAGTGAGGGTCCTTCTGGTGGGGTCTATGAAGGGTGTTGTGTATATTGGAAGGACAGAGTTCATGTCCGAGTTCTAGCAATAGAATTACCTTAGGTTCCACATGGAGATGATTTATGATATACTACAATCAAATGACAATGATGTCTCTAAAAGTGGGCCAGGGATTTATAGAGACTCTAGTTAAATGAATGGATTTTGAGTCTTCACTTGGGATTGTGGCCTAATATAAGAACAATTCGTTCCTATGTCATAGCCCTGCCTGGGACTTGCCCTCATGAGATCACTGAAGACATGGGTGCCATAGCAAAGTGTGGTAAAGAAATCAGAAGGTAACCAGTTATCATGAAAAATAGCATGGGGAAGGTGGTCTTAAAAGCTTATCTTTAAAACAAGTGCCATCTAAGTGAGGAGTCAGCTAAATCCATATGGAAGAAGCATGCCAGCCTGTGTGATCCAAGGATTGTAAATAATATCCAAACCCAGAGGTGGGTACAGTACCATTGCCTACTCCTACACACCTGGTTTTCAGCAGCCCCGAAAGACCTTTGTAACAAAATCGATTTGTGGGGTCTCTATGAAGGGAGTGTTGGTGAAGCCCCAATGCACATAGGCTAGGCACATTAACAGCCCTAATACCCGACAAAGAGCAGTGTACAGTAGACTTCAGTGGCTGTATTTAGACTAGAATGTAACACCTTGTCATTGGATCTCCCTCCAGACCCAATGTGAAGGTACTCTACGTTTTTAATATTCTCTACTTTCTCTTAGATTGAGATCTTTCTCTGTTTCATGTGGTCATTGTTGCTGGTCCCTTGGTTATTGTTTGCCCTTATTTTATGTTTATCTGGATAGGGAAGCCAGGATGGGTAGATTTATGAAGACAGCAGCTGTATTAATGATTGCCTGGGGTCTCAGAAAGCGGGGGTGAGGATAGGGAATTGGGGAGTCAACGCTAATGGGTACATGAAGGAAGAAAAGGTTCCAGAGTTGACTGTGATGATGATTACAAAACCTTTCTTGATATGATTGAACTATTAAATAGGATATGTTATTTTCAGCTCAATAAATTACTTAATTTTAATTTTAATTAAGAGATAAGGTCATTTAGATATTATGCTTTATGTTCAAAAATCAAGAAATACTGAAAATATTACATAGAAACACAACATATTTTTCAAAAAAGCCAAAGTGAGTGTTTACAGATAATAACTTCACTGTCTGCAGTAAAAAAATACACTGGATAAGATTAATGGCATACGAGGTGGGTTTAAAAGTTCATGGAAAAGTGAGATGAAAAGAAATGGAATTTTTTGTTGTGGCCCCTTCGTATTAGTCAGTGCCGAGGAAAAATACTAATAAACTTGGAGGCAGAGTAATAGCAACTATAAAATTGCTGTTTCATGTTTGGAGGATCATTTTTTTTCCCAAATCTAATCATATCACCAGTAAATTCTCTCAACTTTCCCTAGTTCTTGCCCCTCCAGGAGAAGCTTATCTGTGGTCTCGGATAAGCATGTGCATACTTTGTTGTTTTTAAAGTCAAGTCTCTGAAAAGGAGAACCACCTCATCTGAGAAGGGCGGAGTCAAGGTTGGGGCTATTGCAAGGACGGTGGAATATGCCCACAAAGGAAGATGAGGCCTGGTTCTTCGGCGTGCAGTGAGGCGTGTGCCGAGGATGGGTTCTCTAACGCTCCACAGGCAGATGGAGGCTGGAGAACACACATGAAGAGTGTCTGGGGAGCCACAAACCAGACTCACAAACTCCAATGTCTGTGGGCAGCAGGCAGGAAAAAGGCAACAAACGGACCAGGCTTGGTATTAGAGAGAGGCGTTCAAAATATTAATTTGCTATTCTCTTAATGTGACAGCTGATGGCTGGCGATACATGCCCTGGATAAAAGAGATAGGCACTGCTCAGCCCCAGTTACTGTCATCATGTCAGAATGCTGGCCCCAAGATACATAGACAGTGATGTATAAATGTCACACAGGTCAGACAAAGCGTTTCTGTGACCCATGTCCCGTAAGAGGGCTGCCATTACTCACGTGGCAATGGAAAGGGCTGGATCAAGCTTGAATTCATTAGTGACTACAAGTAGAGTCAATAGAAAGGCATCATCTAAGAGTCTAGAGTGGCACTTCTCATTTACCTGCAATTCATTTATTGTCCAGTTCCAAACCAAATATGCCATTGCACTAGCTTTCCAATGATGACCGGTAACTAACCATCCCACTGGTTGTCCATTCCCTTACCCTCATGGGGTGGATATCCGCATATGGGGGCTTCCCTTCAGCCATCTCTATGGCAGTTATTCCCAGCGACCAGATGTCTGCCACACAGTTGTACCCAATTTCCTGAATGACTTCTGGGGCCATCCAAAAGGGTGTCCCAATCACAGTATTTCTCTTAGCCATCGTGTCCTAAGATTGAGAGAGGCAAGAAGATCATTAAGCCCTGAAGCTATAGAGAAAAAGGGATTGCATCAATAGTAAGAAATGCCTCGTATTTGAAATATATCTATAACCTATGTTCAACACACAAGCAAATGAATCACAAAATAAATTCAGATGACCAAGAAATAAAAGATTATCCATCAACTATGAAAACATAAAATCTGAAACATAATCTTGTTTTGGATCCAAGCAGTCCCCAGGCTACAAACATCAACTTAGGTATAACCCATAGTTACGGACCATGGCCCGTTTTGCTAAAATACAAGGTATATACAATGGTTTTTAGTAAACAATTGGGCGCAATCTTCAGACATGCGAGAACACAGTAGTAGTATGGTAGAGATGTAGTATATTTGGAAGTGTTACTTTAATATTTCCTATGCATCAAAAGGTACATTATCTACTAAGAAAAATACTTAGCTGACAACCGATACCAACCCTAATTGGTGTGACTTACAAATTCAACTTAAAGTCAGACTTAGGAACAGAACTCATTCATAATCTAACGACTGCCTGATATCATCCTGAAAATTTGATGAAAATTCAAAATTAAATACTGCTGGTTAAAAAAGGGGGCGGGAAGAAAGTACTCAACACAATGTTACTGAAGTATATAAACTGGTAAAACTTTCTGGTAGGTTACTTAGCAGTATTTATTAAATTATTAAAAATCCCTATCTTTGAAAAATGAATTGCTCCAAAAGTAAAACCAAGAAAATAATTTCATTTAAGAATAGAATCACAAAAGAACAAACTATCTGAGAAAAAAATACAACCAAATAGTAATAGCTATAAACTATAACACAGCTTTGAAATAAATTAAAAAGGACCTAAATAAATGGTAGAACATCTGTGTCACAGATTGCAAAGTTTTAGTATGATTAATATGATTAAGATATAACCATTGTATATACCTTTAATATGATTCAATATTTTCCAAATGAATCTAAGATTCAACACAATCCCTATCAAAACTCCAATGGTTTTTTATGACAAGACTGACAAGCTGATCCTAAAATTCATACAGAAATACAAGAGGCAGAGACAAAACAACCTTGAAAAATAATATTTGAAAATTCACACTTCTTGAGGCATCTAGCCTGTCAATCAAGCCATAGCCAATGAGGCCTCCGTGTGGGCGTGGCCTTCTGAGGATTCTGTATTCCTTCCTGGAGGTGGGAGACACTCTCTGCTTCATCTTCCTGGTGACAAGCCACATGGAGCTACACTGATGCCGCCAGAGCCCTGGAACTGGGAGGAGCCACGTAGAGACCCACACCAGCATTGAGATGCTTCCACCACACTGGATCCACAAGACTTTCCACCCACTGGCCTGTGAACTTCCTGCACTCAGCATCATTGCATGGCTTTGTGAGTCTAAAAAGGAATTTATGGACTACTACTGACATATGGGATAATCTTGGACTTACGGACTTGATCTGGGCTGGGATGTTTTCTTAATGTACAATTGATCTATGTAAAATTCTCTTTTACACATTTATGAGTATCTCTGGATTTGTTTCTCTAGTCAACCCAGACTAACACACTTCCCTATTTCAAAACTTAGTACAAAACTACAGTGTGATGAATTGAGAGCCTTACATATAAACTCCTACATTTAGGGTTAGTTGATTTTTAACATGCATGCTAAAACAGTTCAATGAAGAAACAGAAGTCTTCAATAAATGATCTTGAAACAACTAGATCTCTACATACAAAAGAATGGAATTAGACCCCTACCTCAAAAAATCAACTTAAAAAGAATCACAGGCCTAATTGTAAGAGTTAAAAAAACACTCTTAGAAAATAGCATAGGAGTAAATCTTTAGGATCTTAAATTAGGTAACAATTCCTTAAGTATGATACCATGTAAAAGAAAAACATATAAACTGGACATCAACAAAATTAAACACTTTTGTTTCAAAGTTCACTATTAAGACTAAAGAAAGCCCACAGAATGGGAGATCATTTATGTACATTATATATCTGATAAAAGACTTGTATCTGAAATACTTTAATTGGGTAAAGATTTTGAATAGACATTTCCCCAAAATGGCAAATGACCAATAAGCACGGGAAAAGATCCTTAACATTACTGTTGTTCTTATGTGCCCGAGTTGTTCCAACTTATACCTATTCCACGTGTGTCTAAATGAAATGGGCCCGGTCCTGCACTGGCCTCACCATCACTGTGGTTTGAGCCTACGGCTGTCGCCACACTGTCAATCCATCTCATTGAGGGTCATCTCATTCATTGACCTATTTTATTTGGGACATGTGGTCAGGAGAGACCAGTGCCAAAAGGACATCATGCTTGGTAAAGCAAAGGGGCAGCAAGAGAGGAAGACCCTCAGGAGATGGACTGACCTGGTGGCTACAAGGACGGGCACAAGCACAGGAAGAACTGTGAGAATTGGCACAGGTCCAGGCAGCGTTTAGCTTTATTGTGCACAGGGCTGCGATGGCACCTCACACCTATTTTACTAAGCATGGTGTCTTTCCAGGGATTGGTCCCCCTTGATAATAAATGTCCAAAATGAGACAGTCTTACCATCTTTGCTTCTAATAAGCATTCTGGCTGTATTTCTTCTAAGACAGGTGTATTTTTGGCTCTGGCAGGCCACGGTACTGTCAAGAATCTTTGCCAATACTATAATCCAAAACATCGATGCTGGTGGCACAATGGGTAAGCACTCGTATGCTAACCAAAATGTCAGCGGTTTGAACACTCCAGGCACTCCACAGAGAAAGGTGTGGCTTTCTGCTTCTGTAAAGATTACATCCTGGGAAACCCATGAGGTAGTTCTACTCTGTCCTATAGGGTTATTATGAGTTATAATTGTATATATACGGTATATATACACACATATCATTTTACACATACCTATACTACTGTCTACATAAAATGGTACACTATTGTGTATGCTGTGTATCATTTTATATACAATGGAATAGATATATATAAAAATTATACATGTATATATACATTTCTACTATCCAAGAAAAACTACATACAAATGTTAGTGTCTACCTACCCCAAACTTTTGACTACTTTAACATATATTTATATATTTTACAAAATCAGGTAATTCTAGATTTGTGAGCTGAAAATGGGTTTTCATTACCATATACCCACCACTGAGGCAGTGGAAGAATCAAGAGACTGGTGTTGTGGATACAGTGCTGGGCAGTGTTTTCAGTAAAGTAACGTTCAAATATGGTCAGGAGTTGAATGAAATGATGTCCTATCTTATTCAAGAAAAGCACGAATTTCATTTTCTTCCTTTTATAATATGCTGATGTAGCTCAAGAGAATTTAAATTTCTACCTTATAATTTCTTACATTTTAATTTTAAACATGCACATAAAGAGTTAACTACATCATGACCTGAAAAACCCTTGGGAAGCATCTAAAATAACCTACCAATTGAATTACAAATTGTTACAACATCTGTAAGAGCTCCCAATAAAATGATTAAAAATAAATAAAACAAATAACCTACCAGCATTTTTGGATTCTGTTGATAAAAATCTACATTGTTTTAATGGATGTATGTATGGATTGTGATGAGTTGTACGAGCCCCCAATAAAGTGATTTTAAAAAGAAAAAAAATCTACATTGTTTTGTTTCAGTAATATGATTAAGTCAAGTATTTTACTAATGGGAAAAAAAACAACATACAAGCAATTAACTTCAAGACAGTGCTGGATGTGATCAACGTGTGTAACATTTTTGCTTACTGTAAGTTGGCCTGCTACTCCAAAGTCTGCAAGTTTTGCATGCCCCTCTGTATTTAGCAAGATATTTCCTGCCTTGATATCTCGGTGTATTTTTCTCATAAAATGAAGGTATTCCAATCCTTTGAGGGTTGATTGTAATATTGTTGCTATTTCATCTTCTGTTAACTAAAAAGAAAAAGAAAAATGTGATCAAATTCAATGCAATTACAGTCTCAGCACATGAGGAGAAGGGAGGTGGGGGGACTCAAACAACTTTCCTCAAACATAAATACATCATAATTCAGACTGTGAACCACATTTAGTTGTGGCTTACACCAACAATATGCTGGCCATTCCCAGTTCTGTTTCAAGCCCAGATCTCTTCAGAATCGTGTATCGGCCCACTTAGCACCTCCTCCTAGATATCTAACAAGCATCCTACACATAATGTGTCAAAATCAAATTTTATTTCTACCACCACTTTACCTGACCCCTTCCCACCCACTCCCCTCACTCTGTTAAAGGTCATATCCTTCTTCCCACTGCTCTGGTCAGGTCCCAAGTCATCTTGACTGGCTTCAAAATGTTATCACCTGATTCAAGCCGCCATCATGACCTGAACGATTCTCACCATCTCCACACGGCTCGCCCTGCTTCCACCCAGCAGCCCCAGGCAGCTCTGTCCCAAGCCCTCCAGAGGTTTCCTCAGTCCCTCAGGACAAAAGCCTTTAGTAGGCCTCTGAGACCTTTCACGATCTAACTCCCGCCTGCCTCTCCAACTTCACCTTCCACCGCTCTCCACACTGCTCAGCCTGTGCCTACCGGGCTGGCACATCTGTGGTTCCTGCAACACTCCAAGCTCGGGCCCACCCTTCTGCCTGCTTCTCTCCGCCTAGAATGCTCTTCATCCAGATAACTCTACAAGTTGCTCCCTTACTTCCTATCTCTACCCAAAGGTCACCTCTTTAAAAGCAGCCAGATGGGCCTTGCCTAGCTCCCGTCCGTTCCCAGCACTCTACCCCTGGTCCTACTGTATCTGTCTTCACAGCAGCATGTGGTTTGTTGTGCATTCGCTGAGCTTGGATACCTTTTACAATTAATATACAAGCCGTGTTTGGACTGGTTGGGATACTTGGGATACATGCAGTACTTGTACTATAAACAAAGCAAAAACGTGCTGCCACTGCGTTAATTCCAATTCATAATGAGCCTACAGGACTGAGAAGAGCTGCCCCACAGGATTTCCAAAGCTGTATGTCTTTTCAGAAGCAGACTGCCACATCTGTCTCCCTCAGAGCTGCTGGTGGGTACAAGCAATGGCCTTTGGGTTAGCGGCTGAGTGCTTTAACCACTGGGCTCCTAGAATCTGGGCTAACTAGAATAAAATTTAAATTCATGTTCATGGTGGACCATACCCAACGTAATCTAGCCAGCCATGGCTTCCTGTCCACCTTCATCTTCTACCAGCTCCCCCTGGCCTGGGCCCCTCTAGTCACAGGGCCTTCCTTCTACAGCTCTCACGATGCCAACCACACCCAGGCTCACGGTCTTGGCACTGGTTAAACATGCTCTTTTCAGGGTCAAGTTTTAGTCTAAATGTTACCACCTGACTGACCTTCCTACCAGGGACTCTCATCACGTTACTCGGGCTGGTTTTCTTCAAAGCACTCACCACTCGCTGACGTTTCTTTTACAGTTACCATTAATGTGCTTTTTCGTTGTCCTACCAAAAGTATGCTCTCATGAGGGCCACTGTTGACTTATGACTGCATCCCCAGGGCCTAGAACTAAAACTCACTCACTGCCAGAGTGCACTCTGACTGACAGTGACCCTACATGACAGGGAAGGGAACTGCCCCTGTCCGTTTCCGAGACTGGAACACTTCACAGGAGTAGAAAGTCCTTTCTCCCAAGAGGTGACTGGTGATTTGGAACTGCTGACTTTGCAGGTAGCTGCCAATGTGTAACCCATTATGCCACGGGCTCCTGGGCCTAGAAGAGTACTCTGGGAATATTTCTGGAATAAGTGAACATAGAGTTTGAGAAATCAAGCCCATGGCTTTGAATTCTTAGTCCAGCTCTCATCACAACTTTATCCTTTGATTAATGATTCAGCTGGGTTTCAGAGTTTGAGTACTTAGCAGGAGGAGGCTGTTGCTGGTTTCCATGGAGTCAATTCCAGCTCCCAACGACGCTGTGGGCACAGAGCAGAACCGCTCCACGGGGTTTCAAAGCTGAGAACTGTCTTCTGTGACACTTCTGGGTGGGTCTGAACTGCCAACTTCCAGCTAGTAACTGAGTTTGTAACGTTCTGCACTCCCAGCATAGGGTAGTGAAGGAGGGCACTGATCTGTGAACATACTAGATGTGTAAAGAAATTCAATTCCAAATTTAAGCATTTAAAATTCACTGCTGATTTGACAGTCAATTGTTCTCCAGCAAGTAATAAGCTCAGAAACTTGAAGAGTATATACAATGTCATTGAATTGTATGTGTGAAATTTTTGGAAATGGTATATCGTTTCTGGTTCTTTTCATGAACACGCAAAAAGGAAATTCAAAGTAGGTTATACATTTTTTAAAAGGAGGAAACAAGCAGAAGGTGCTACAAACTGGGTTGGTGCCAAAGCTGCTGTATCTAGGAGGGGTCCATGCACAAAGTGGGGGCAAGCAAGGCCCAGGGGAAAGGGGACGGTGGCCAGCCCGGCTCCGAAGGAGTAGTAGTAGGATACTCATGAATCAATGCCCAGAGAAGAGGATGGTAGAGGTTCTAGCTCAGCTGGGCTGTTCTAGAAGTAAGCTTACCGTTTTATTTCGCAATCGAATGATATCAGACACAGAGCCAGCCCCACAGTACTCCATAACAATCCACAAGTCTGTGTTCTTAAAATAGCTGCCATAATATTTGACTACGTGAGGGCTAGAGAGAGAGAGAGAGAGAGAGAGAAGCAGGGTGCAGATTAGTGAAAGCATCTACACACATCTTTCTTGAATGCATGTTAAATACGCCAAAAAAATGATTCCTCGGCTCGAAAGATCAATTCAAACTCAAGGTTAAGACAGATGCCCTCCTGTTAAGAATGCAAAATAATACCACTTTTCTGCACGGCACTAAATAACCAAATGATAAATCATAAAAACTCAAATACTTACGTCCTTTAACCCAGCATTTCTTTTCTTTCTTTCTTTTTTTTTAATCATTTTATTGGGGCTCGTACAACTCTTATCGCAATCCATACATCCATCCATTGTGTCAAGCACATTTGTACATGTGTTGCCATCTTCATTCTCAGAACATTTTCCTTCTACTTGAGCCCTTGGTTTCAGCTCCTCTTTTTCCCCCTCCCTGCCTCCTCCCCCCCAACCCAGCATTTCTAACAAAATTTGTTTTCCTAAGAATTTGGGATTTCCAGAAAGAAGCTGTTATCATAGTGCTGTTTGTAAAAATGAGAATTTAGTACTTTATATACATTAGGGAGAAATGACAATATAGCCACATAATTAAATTACCATGAATTCATGAAAAACATTTCAGAAGAGTTAACATAAGAAGATATCCTTTTTTTGTTTGTTTGTTTTTAATCAAGGGAGAGCGCGAACACAGTTCCCCACTACCACAAATCATGCAGTCGAGTTTCCAACTTTTGGGGAAATAGCAGGGTTCAGCACATCCGGAGTGCAATGGATAAGCCTCACCCTGGGAAAACCCCCTTCGTGATCATGGTATCTCCCCTGCCAGGTGAGTATGAGAAGATATCCTTTTTAACAACCAAAAAAAGCAGGTTACAAATTAGTCAACATAGTTAAGCAAATCAATCCCAAAAGACATATGCGAAATATGTATACCAGAGTATTTGACAATGATTATTTCTGCAACGGGGACAACATGTGATTGTATTTTCTTCTCTTTATCCAGTTGAATGTTTTCCTCCAAGAAGTCACATGAATTTTATATTCAGAAATAAAATTCACACTGTAATCTCCTCCAAAGACAAACTAAGCCTCACGCTTCAGATATTTTAAAAAGGGCACCAGGAAGAAATGTCAATGAAAAGTCAAGCGTCCAGTTGAAACGAACTCATCTGCAGCCCCTCGGAGCCAGCGCTAACTGGCTGGATGGTTGTCAGATCCAAGTGACGTTGCATAATAACTGCAGGTGTGAACATCCCCTTGGACACTCGGATGCTCCTTCCTCCTGGGGAGCATGTCAGTGACAAGGGGGCAGAAGTTCGTGCACGCCTAAGCACACCCAAAATGTTAATGGAGAGAGAGGGGAGTCTCTTAGGGTGCAGATCACCACAGCTGCTGTCCCCTCTCTAAGCCCCTGTAGCATTTACTGCCTCTTTCAGGTACTTACTGTCGGAGTGAGTGCTATCCAGCTGGTACTGCCCACTAGACTTTCCTATGCATGCACCTGATCTGTCCAATGAGTCTGTAAACACCCCCACCACCACCACCCCGCCCCACCACCCCCCAGGACCAAGACTCTGCCGCCCTCCATTTCTGGTTCTGGAGGAGAGGAGGGGAGGGCAGGGCAGGGGGCAATCCTCAGTGTCCATCACAGAGTAGCAGCTTCATAATTATCTGTGACTAGAGACAGAGGCCCACCCTTTGGGGGAACAGAGCTCTCTGTAGTCTATCCAACATGCCACGGTCCCAATCTGCCAACTGGAAATCTATTCCATTAGAGGGAAAAGGAAAACTGGTGCCTGGATCTGGTCACTCTAAGGAGAAAGGGGTGTGAGTGACCTAAGAGACATGAACTAGGGAAATCAGGGGATAGAAATGATTGTATTTACAGTCTGCAAGACTGAGAGCTCCTGGGCTACTTTCCTGGGGTGTAACCCCACCTGCCCTAATTTTGAAGCTGAACCAACCAGGGTACCCAATTGTTCTGTTGACTGAAGGGCTTCTGAAGAACAGACGGATGCAAGGCTGGGAGTGCAAGGCCTTCTCAGGCCCCGCCCGATTCCCCTAGGCTGGCACTCCCCCCCCTCGAAGTAGCAGGTACTAAGGAGCATGCAGGAAGCCTGCACCATCACAGGGACAGGCCCTTGTTGTCAAGGAGTGACATCACAGGTCACGTGCTTGTCTGTGGTTATCTCTTGGCCTGACTTCCTGCTTTCAGAATCTGACAAATCTTAGTTCCTAAAAAAATTATTCCTAGTCTGAGTATATATATTTTTAATGCAAACTAATTAATAATAACATAAGCACTCTCTTTCCATAAATCTATGAAATACTACTCCAACACTTCCAGGATTCAAAACATCAGAATTCTCTCTCCTTTGCTGTCTCTGAAGAAATGTTTTCTCAAAGGAAGTAAAAGAGATGTTATCAGGGGAAAAGCAAGAGCCAGCCAGCACCACCTTCAGCCTCTTCTACTTTCCTAAAGGGCTTCTGCAGAAAGAAACGCTAACACAGCGGTTCTCAACCGTCCTAACGCCATGAACCTTTTAACACAGTTCCTCAGGTTGTGGTGACCTCCCAACCATAACATTATTTTTGTTGCTACTTCATCACTGTCATCTTGCTACTGTTATGAATCAGGCGACCCCTGTGAAAGGGTGGTTCAACCCCCAAAGGGGTCACCACCCACAGGTTGAGAACTGCTGCCTCTAAAAGGTTTTTCCCACAGCTTCAGGGGTAAGTTAGTTAATTGTGCCTACCTGGCCAAAAATCACATGTGGGGTTAACTGAAAGGCAGAGGGATAAATGGGTGGTGAGCCTCGCTTTTCTAGTTCTCCTGTCTCTTGCTTTGTGATGGTCGCACCAGGGTGCAGCTGCCTTGCAGCTCCCTGCTTCAGCTTGCAAGATTGGCTTCCTACAAGACATCCCTGAGGAGAAGCCACATGGACCTATCCCGATGTAGCCCTGGGTGCTGGAGCAGCTGTGTGGAGACCCCTGCTAGTGCTGAGATGCTTATTCGTTCACTGACTCAGCTTTCCTCCTGCAGTCGGCATCATTGCCTCTGTTTTGTGAGGTGGAGGACTTTGTGGACTGGTGTTGGGTTAATGGGTTAATGTTGGACTTGTGGGCTTGGGCAGCACTGGGTTGGGATGTTTTCGCAATGCACACTTTCTTTACATAAAACTCTCTTATACATGAGTTGCTGTGGATTTGTTTCTCTAAAGTACGTAGACTAATACAAGGGGTTTCATCTTTTTTTCTGAAAAGAACAGGCAGTGATTCCATTAGACTCCTCTTCTACAGAATCTCTAGAGTGTATTTCCCTGAGCCCACGAAAAGGAATGAATACGAAACCACATTCTCTCCCAAGTACACCAGGTGCGTTCGTTACCTGTCACATTGCTGCATTATTGAGATTTCCTTGATTATCTCCTGCAGATCCGATTCCACTGGAACTTGCTTAATAGCAACAATCTGACCCGTCTCTTTATGAATAGCTTTGTACACGCTGCCATAGGACCTAGAATCCAGGGAAGGAGAACATTTGTCAAGTAAGGCAAGACCCGATTCACAGTCCTAGTTTAGGACCCCCAAGTCCTAACACGAGGGGGCTTCAAAAAGTTGATGGGAAAATCCCATGCTCATTGGATTCCATTTCCCAGAACTTTTAAAGTATCCTAGTACATATGCATCCAAAGGTGAGTCCAAAAGTACTGCTGCAAAATCACAGAAACCTTTAGCCCTGGTGGCATACTGGTTATAAATTGGGCTATGATCTTCAAGGTCAGCAGTTCAAAACCACCAGCCACTCCTCAGGAGAAAGATGGGGCTGTCTACTCCCATAATCAGTTAAGTCTCAAAAACCCACGGGGAGGGAGAGGGAGGTGTCACTACGAGGCGGTATGGACTCGATGATAGTGAGCTTGGTGTGGGTTTATTAAACAAAACCATCCAAATATGAGGCCACAGTTGGCCTACATCTCTTCCACGTAGGCTCCTCATTGCTGAGAGCAGTGCGTCTGGCTCTCTACCCTTCCCTGGTGACCAGCCGGTGCTCTGGGATGTACACCACACCCCACAGCAGGTGGGACATCCACCAGGGACTCAAATCATCGTCCTTTCAAGTGCTGAGTTTGGGGAACAGAAAGGAGTCTGAAGGGCTGTAAGATGGATGGGCTAAAGTTTCCCAAGGAAATTCTCACAGGACAGCCCTCGAATGAGAAGGAACAAAAGTCCTCAGTGCAACATTCCTGGCCTTTTTCTTAAAAAGAGCTTCCAGTATTCTTAAGACGTCTTCCTAATAAGTTCCTGAGATCCTCTGTCCTTCAAGAAAATCTATCAAATGACCCCAGAGAATCTCCAAAAATAGACACCACAACCTCTGCAGCAGACCACTCTGCCTTGAATTTAAGTGGCGGAGCAGATCCTCTTTGCCGCTCCTTGGATCTGCTTTCATGGGACCCCCGCCCCCACCCCAATCTCTTTTGAAAGCACCGAACAAGACTTTAACACGTCCATCCCTGGAAGAACCTGTCTGCAGTCATCCACTGATTGCAGACGAGTTCAAACAGGTTTGACCAGAAGACATTTGTGTGTAAATGAATTTTAACATTTTTTATGTATAAAAGCTTTATATCAAAGAGCAATTGTCTATTAAGAAAATATCCCCCCCCCAAAAAAAGAATTTTAACATTTTTAACACCACCTTTTGATTTAAGTATAGTTAGCTCTAACTTGTAAAACTGAGAAAACTGAAGTTGCACTTTGGGGAGGAAAAAAAAAACCTGCCAAGATAATTACAGACATGACATTTTAAAAACTTTACATTTTTTAATAAAATCATCACGGTAGCTACCACACACTGGATGCCTACTATCTGCTAGAAACTGCAACATCTTGGTACATCCTTACCAGTTTAAAAAATAAAGAAGAAGCAAGGCCCATGGTCCCTATTTTACAAGTAAATAAATGTGCAAAGGCTGAGAGGTTACTTGACTTGCCAAGGTCACATAAATGGTCAGTCTAGGATTGAAACTCAAGTGTGACTGGATCCAAGGAACCCTGGTAGTGTGGTGGGTCACACTCAGACTGATAGCTACAAGGTCAACAGCTAGAACCCACCAGCCACACCCAGGGAGAAAGACTAGACTCTCTGCTCCCCTTAAGTTACAGCCTAAGAAACCCACAAGGGCAGTTCTACCGTCCTATAGGGTCCCTGTTGAGTTGGTGGCAGTGAGTTTGGCTTGGCTGTTCTGGTGACTATATGCACAACTATCCTGGGGTACAATAACGAAGCGCCATTGTCTGATGATGTCAAGGTGTGTCATCCTAGCCCTGGGCCTGAGCAAGCTATTCATCACTGTAAAAAATAAATAATATAAATATATACATAGAGAGAGGGGAGGGGTACCCCCCCCAAAAAATGCAGTATTTTCCCAAAGCTATGTATTTAAGTTTTTTTACAAAACAACCTTATCACCTTCAAAGTACTCTCCATTACACGTAATACATTTGTCACATCTGTGATTCCATTCTTGGAAAGATTTTTCAAACTCAGTTGTTTGGATGGCTGCCATCACCTCCTTCATTTTCCTCTTAATCTCTTCTGCATCTTCAAATCGCTGTCCTTTCATGTCCCTCTTCATTCGTGGAAAAAAGTCACACAGATCGAAGTCAGGTGAGGAAGGTGCATGGGGCAAAAGAGGCATACTGTTTTTTGCCAAAAACTGGCACACTGAGATGGCTGTGTGAGCAGGTGTACTATCATGGTGGCAAAAGCAGTCCCCTGTCTGCCACAAATCAGGTCTTATTTTTTTGTAGCACACTGTTACGTGATCTTTTCAGAACTTCTAAATAAAAAGCTTGATTAACAGTCTGATGTGACAGAAGGAACTCCAAGTGCACCAAGAGTTCACATCTTGGTCTGTTCGGGAAGTTGACTGATATCCAGAACAAGGTTTGTCATCAATCGACACTTCACCTTTTTTGAAATGAAAAAACCACTCACAATACTTGAGTTTTTCCCATAGCACTGTCCATGTAAGCTGTGTTCAACATCACAACAGTTTCTGCGGCATTTTTCTCAAGCAGGAAACAGAATTTTAGTCACACACTGTTCTCTTAAATTGTCCATCACAAAAAAACAAGGTTCCAGCGAAGCTGTTTTTACAATAAAATTCACTGTGACCAGAGAACTTTCCCAGGCAACACCACTGAGTGCACTAACTCGGAGCAAATTGCTCGATGCTCTGAGTTAAATGCTTACTATGAAAGTTCTGCTTTGTCCACTGCAATTCTG